CCAGAAATTCACACCTGTGACCTGTCCATGACATGTAGTATAAATACCACTGGTTAAATTGGGGGGCTGCTAATACGGGGCTGCTGCTGGAGGGAAGTGTAGTGATCAGCTGCTTGGGAGGACACCAGGGAGGCAGAAGCACCAGCTGCTAGGGTTCCATACCAGGAACACTGCTGGAGGCCTTGTCAGCAGATGCCAGTGGGGCCAAGCTACAGGGGCCTCCTTAGCAGTGGTCAGTGGGGCTGTCTCCAGAGCTATCTAAGCAGCTGCAGAACCCACAGAGGGAATCGGTGACTTTTGTGATAGACACAGAGCCCTAATCATCACTGACTGTGATATTATATTGCTACAAATGTACTATGAAAACCATTTTCACAATTTCCTTCAGTTCACAGAACACGTCTCTATTCATAAAAGATCTCTCTCATTACACACGAAGCAACTGTCGCACAGTGGCAACCACGGCTGTACCAGTTAGTAACACTTTCCACTACAGTGGTACTAACCACTATTATTGCTGATGATTCGGGCATCAGTGGTAAAATAATTGTTCTCTAGAGGTATGTCTAGACTCCATTTTTTTTAACTGCCCTTTTTTCCAAAAAAAACTTCACCTGCGTCCACACTGCAATTGTGATCTTTCAAAATTAAATCAAAAGAACACAGGGGTTTTTTCAACATTGGTAAACCTCAACAAAAGAGCTCTTTCAAAATAAGGTGTGTGTGGACACAGAACAGGGACATTTTTTGAAAGAAGAGGCAATTAAAAAAAAAGCACAGGTGCCTTGGTGGCCATTCTGTGAATAGCAATCAGGGCTTTCTTTCAAGAGAGCGTCCATGCAATTTGGATGCTCTCTTTCAAAAAAGCAGATCGCTTTTTCGATCAGGTTTTGAGTCTAGACGTACCCTAGGACTACAATGGCTATAATTCAGTAAACAACATAAGCATGTATTAGTAATATTCCCGCACGTTCCTCTTTAAAAAAGAAACCTAAACACATTAATACTGAATAGACAGGACTTACCTTACACTGTTCCTTTTACCATTTAAATACCACTGCCTTATCATTGGACTTCAGTAATACCACAAAGGAAATGGAATACTTCCGTTAGAACACCAGTGATCCTCTATAATATCCAGCAGGTAACTTTACTACAGTAGAAATGCAGTGGAATTTTCAAACAATTTATTCCAAAGAGGTAAAATGCAAGCCGCATCTCCACAAACGGCATGGTATTGTGTTGTTTCATGTAGCACTCTTCAGCACATCTCTTGTGAAACCTGATTATTTTTAAAAAATTAGTAATAATTTTTAAATGAATCCTTCACACTCTCCAAACTATATTGCTTTTAATCCAAGGATGTCAAAAATTTTAGAAATGTTAAATTAATTATAACTCAAAATACTGTTGTGAGGTAGAGAAATATTTTAATAACAATTTCAGTACATTAAATAACTGACTTAAAATTAACCAACAATGTCTGGTGCTAAAGACTAGCAAGAACTCCTGACTGTCAAGGTCATGCTATCAGCATGAAATCATGCTCATCACCAGACTTCTAACAAACATACCAAAAAAACCCAAACCCTGCCTTAAGCCTTTTCTCAGTTTATTAATTAATTGTGAACTGACTTTGACTTTTACAAGTTGTTAATTATTCAAAATTGTTGCACATGTAATGTGGAAAACATTTCAGAGTGGGTCTTTTCCAAAGTGTTCTCAGCTCGCTTATTATTCTGGGATATGGTAGGTCATCAAAGTCGTATGCTTTGTTTTAAGCTCTTCACCATTCTACAAAGAAGCAGAAGGAAACCAGACTGACTTTCAAGTTACATGATCAAGTCTTGTGCAATGCAAACCTTCGCTCCGATGAATCTGCACAAATATAACTGAGATGTTGGCTGTCTATGAATAAAAAAACATCAAATGATCATTCAATGAATACTAACAGAAAGGGATATGAAAACAATCAGAGTGCATTCATGAGGCCAAATTCTCAGCTGGTGTAAATCAGTGCAGCTACATGTAAGGCAGTAGAGCCCCGTGCATGGAGCCCTGAGGCCCCGGCTGGGCAGGGCTGATTAAGCAGCTGCAGGTCTGTGCTACCACGTAGCTTAGAGCAGTGTTTCTCAAACTGCTCCGCGGAGCCCCAGGGCTCTGCGAGATATCTCCAGGGGCTCTGCAAGGTTGACAAACTGGAAACATTGATAGTTACAACACATACAATCAGTGGACCGATGGGGCTCAGCATAAATTTTTACGTATATAAAGGGCTCCGGAGCCCGAAAAGTTTGAGAACTGCTGGCTTAGAGGGAGCTTTGGTTTAGACCTGTGGAAGCTTTGGCCCATGTCTTTTACACAAATGAAGATTTGAAAATACTTTTTTGCCCAACTTATCTGACCACTACCCCCACCACACACAACCTCTCATTCAGACAACTGCAAAAGATTATTTATTGAATTTTAAGTTCAGACATCATTATTAATTTCCACACTAAGTACATCAAGCTCTGTCTAAAACTTATGGTGATTAATATGTGGCTGTATTATGTGAAGCAGAAAATATTGACAGAGAGTTTCAAAACAAATTCAGGGAATTTTCAAGATGGATTCTAATTCTTGCCTTTTTGTTTTATATTCATTCCCATGCTATGCCACTTAGGATAATACATACATCTCAATATTTAGCTAGCGGTAGTCTCCGCCTTGCTTGGACAAAGATGAAAGAAATGCAAGAAAGTCAAGAAATTAATAGATTTGCTGATCCTTTTTAGCAATCTTACTTTTTTTTATTTCTTAGAAAGGACTTTGTGCAGCTTTAATCACAGTAGAAGCTGATTACCTCTAACTAGTAACAAATTTAAGTACAGGCAGTTCCCAAGTTACGCGGATCTGACTTACGTCGGATCCGCAGTTACAAATGGGGCTTTTCTCGCCCCGGAGGACGGGAGCGGCGGGATGCCCAGATGCGCCGCGGTCCGCCGCTCCAGTCCTCTGGGGCGAGAAAAGCTGCTCCCCATCTCCCTGGTCTGCAGGGAGACGGGGAGCAAAGCCGCGGAGCACGCCCGCAGCGGGCTAGCCCAGGCGCGCTTGAGCTGTCCCCCTGCGGGCGTGCTCCGCGGCTTTGCTCCCCATCTCCCTGGTCTGCAGGGAGACGGGGAGCAAAGCCGCGGAGCACGCCCGCAGCGGGCTAGCCCAGGCGCGCTTGAGCTGTCCCCCTGCGGGCGTGCTCCGCGGCTTTGCTCCCCATCTCCCTGGTCTGCAGGGAGACGGGGAGCAAAGCCGCGGAGCACGCCCGCAGCGGGCTAGCCCAGGCGCGCTTGAGCTGTCCCCCTGCGGGCGTGCTCCGCGGCTTTGCTCCCCATCTCCCTGGTCTGCAGGGAGACGGGGAGCAAAGCCGCGGAGCACGCCCGCAGCGGGCTAGCCCAGGCGCGCTTGAGCTGTCCCCCTGCGGGCGTGCTCCGCGGCTTTGCTCCCCATCTCCCTGGTCTGCAGGGAGACGGGGAGCAAAGCCGCGGAGCACGCCCGCAGCGGGCTAGCCCAGGCGCGCTTGAGCTGTCCCCCTGCGGGCGTGCTCCGCGGCTTTGCTCCCCATCTCCCTGGTCTGCTGGTCAGCCCAGGGAGATGGGGAGCAAAGCCTCGGAGCACGCCAGCAGTGGGACAGCCGCGCCGCACCTGGACTGTCCCGCTGCCCGCGTGCTCTGCGGCTTTGCTCCGCATCTCCCAGGTCAGCAGACCAGGGAGACGGAGCAAAGCCTTGGAGGACTTGGGCAGTCCCGCCACCCTGGTCTTCTGAGGGGGTGCAGCTAGTGCCCCCCCCAGCAGACCAGGCTTTTCTTGCCTACCCCTGGGGTAGAGCAGCTGGGGGCTGCCAGGTTGGTCCCGCAGCGCCGCTCCGGACCAACCCAGCAGCACCCCAGCTGCTCTGCCCCAGGCGTCCCCAAGTCAGCTGCTGCTGAAACTGATCAGTGGCTGATTCCAGGAAGCCTGGGGCAGAGCAACTCTGCCTCGGGCTTCCTGTAGTCAGCCGCTGGTCAGTTTCAGCAGCGGCTGACGCCAGTTCCGACTTACATACAGATTTAACTTAAGAACAAACCTACAGTCCCTATCTTGTACGTAACCCGGGGACTGCCTGTATGTTAAAAGATTTTTCCATATGGAAAAGATCTAGTGTACAGTTTTTTATTCAATATTTGAATTTATTTTAAAAATGGTGTTAATGTGTCTTCATGAAGTACAGTACCTTGGTATTTTCACTGCAGTTATAATTGCATGTGTGAAAAATCAGTAAAATCGCACCTGCTATATGTATGACTGTTGTCTCTAGGGTCCAAATGTTTCCAAGACAAGCTGGAAATTGGGATGATAAGATCAAGGGATGTTATTAATCCCCTTCAGCTCATAAATGGATTTTTAAATTACATAGATATTTGTAAAGCAAAGCCATTGTAAGACACCTGAAGGACAGGTAGCCACATGGTACAGTAGCTGAGTTTCCTATTGCATTAAAAAATCTGGTACTGAAGGAATCATATAGAACACTGATTATTCTACAGTTAATATTCAGGAAGCACGTGGCTTTTGTCAAAAAATCTAATTTCCTCTGAATAGGAATACTATATACAAAGTCTGTCTGTTGCTTCTATGACAATGATGTCCCTGATATAAACATGCCAAGAAAAATAACCAAAGGCAGATTTCTCTCAGCTATTATTTGTATTGAAATATTTTTCTTGATTTTTGGACACTAATAACATTGGAAAACTAATGTGCCTGAATCTAGCCAGGCACAGTTTGGCCATAGAAATGTAAGATTCATGTGAAGCTATTCTGTACATCTCCTTAGGAGAATTTTAAAAATTACTTACAGCAGTCTTCAGACACTGGCCTTGGCATCAGTTTTTCTGTGAAAAACTTAGGTGTTATAAAGCAAATTAGAGCCAAGATTTTTTTCTTTTGCTCATGTTAATGAATTCTCTTCACTCTTTTTTTTGTAGAGAGCTGACATAGGGATTTCTGCTTTAACCATTACCCCTGATCGGGAAAACGTGGTAGATTTCACAACCCGCTACATGGACTACTCAGTGGGAGTGCTGCTTCGAAAGGCTGAGAAGACAGTGGACATGTTTGCCTGCTTGGCACCATTTGACCTCTCCCTGTGGGCCTGCATAGCTGGAACCGTGCTTCTGGTCGGACTACTGGTCTACCTCTTGAACTGGCTCAACCCACCACGCCTGCAGATGGGATCAATGACTTCGACAACACTATACAACTCCATGTGGTTTGTTTATGGATCCTTTGTGCAGCAAGGTAAGAAGTAAAATTTATCTTCTTCACAGGGAAGAATATACATACTGTTCCATCTGTTGTGGATTCTTATGACTCCTTTTATCCCTGCATGGCTTAAAAGGGTCCATGACGTTTAAGTCTTTGACATTCAGCATCCTTCTGTATGTGTGGTGAAAAGCTCAGACTCACTACACACTAGCCTCTTTTATTTTGTATCTGTCTATTCCAGTGTCTGTCACCTCAACTCTGAGTAGAGCTACTTCTAATCTTTTAGTAGCAGATTACTCATAAGTAACATTACTAATAAGTTCTAGTGCCAAATGAGACACACAGTCTTTGAATCCAGCTTTAAAACTAAATTTCGATTCTTCACTGTGCATTAGGGCTCATCTAGACTTCGCCGGAGTGCCGAAAGAGGATATGCAAATTCCTGTGGAATTTGCATATCTTCTTCTGATCTCACTTTCAAAAGTGGAGCTTTCTGAAGTGAAAGTAGTTTGGACGCAGCTTTTTTGGTGGACCTCCTCCCCCTTTTTCGAAAAGCCGCTTTTCCTCAAAAAATGAGGTTTATGCTCTTTTTCGAAAAACGGGGATTCACCGAAAAAGCCGCGTCCAAACTGCTTTCACTTTTGAAAGCATTGCTTTCGAAATTTGCATGTCCTCTTTCGGCAATTCGGCATGGTCTAGATGAGCCTTTAGGGTCCTACTACTAGGTCTTCTGTGGACACATCTCACTATTTTGATGCATCTTTTAGCCTCACCAAGGTTTCCCTGACCTTATTGGATACTTTGTCTCCTCTAGCCTTCCAATTGACTCAGGTTTCTCCTCAATGTCATTTATACTCTTTTTCTTCAAACCATGCCCTTCAAGCAGAAGTTTAGTCAGATACTGTTGAGGGATCACAGACTCCTGACCCATCCTAAATAGATAATCTTTGTGCCAATATGACTTAATGTTCTGACATAGAAATTTGAGCTTAACACCAAAGTTCCTGGTAAGCTGCATGGCTGCATAGCCATTTTCTGAGCCCTGCTCAGAGGTTCAGAGCTCCCAGGCAGGCAGGGAACTCAGCTGACTTACAGGGGGAGGGTAACTTGCTAAGCAGCAGCTTCAAACAGAGCTTCTGCATGCTTCAAATGGAGGAGCTCCCAGAGGACGTAAGGAGGGGCGATAAGAAGGAAATAAGTGGTTGGGGGAAGGGGGCAGGAGGAGGAGGAGGAGGGAGGGAGTAATTAGCTGAGGGGGATTCAGAGGGAAGGGGAGTTTAGAGAGCCCCATCTGAGTGAGGAGAGAGAGAGGCAGAGGCAGGAAGTCAGCACTCTCATCAAGCCTCCTGGGATGGAATTTTCAGATGGGTAGCTCTGTTAGTCTGTAGCTGAAAAAAAAATCCAGCAAGTAGACCTGCAGCAGTTTAGAGACTAACAAAAATGTAGATGGTATCATGAGCTTTCATGAAGAAGTTGGCTGGGAAGGGGAAGGTAAGGGACTGGCTGCATGAAGGAGATGAGGAAGAGATAGGGGTGGGTTCTGGCATCAGGGCGGGGTGGAGGTGGGGGGGAGTTTGTGCGGTGTGTCATGGAGTGAGGTGGAGGAGGGGTGGCGAGTTTGTTTGTGCTGTGTGTCCTGTAGGTTGTTTATGCCTGCAAGTTTTTGAGAAGCAGAATTTTATACCAGGCCCCAGCTGGGCTGGGAGGAGCAGATTGCACAGAGGTAGATGTGGGACAGAGGATGGGTGCTAGCATCTGTGCAGTTAGGTGGAGGCAAGGGGGGAGGGTTTGTTTGGGGTATCCTCTCAGGCTGGGTTGGAGGGGGACAGGGAAAAGCAGGCTGCAAAGGGGGGGGGTGTGCTAGGACATTTGCATGATTACATTTCAAACAAAGCTTACATAGCCATTAATGGCTTAAGATAAGCAAGAAAAAGATTTTTTTAACAGAATTTTTTTGAGTGTTTCAGATATCTAAAACTCTGATTTTAATGATTTTTTAAAAAAATCCTGTGTTACTAATTAATACATGGTAAATTGTATTCCATTCAGGCCAGATCTTTGCTATGTGGTAAAGTTCTGGCTCTTATGAGTGTGAAGTAGCAATTACTAGGTGTGATGCTAGTTGTTTTGTAGCATGAAACCTTATTTGCAAGCTCTTTGAAACATGCATCTCTGTACAAACCCTGAAGCCATGTGTTAATTTGTTCTGGGGCTTCTACTCTTTGAGTTGGTGAAAGTTGCAAACCAGAAGAATTTTTATCTGTTTTTACAGGTGTCTTTCCCTTGTTCTTGTATAGCATGGATCCTAAACATTCCCCAGAGAAACTGTATAAGCCTTAGAGAATGCTATTTACTCTCCTCTCCAGTATCAGTAAAATATAGTATCAGTCATGCTCTCTTTGCAAATGCTATTTCTAGTTGATTCAGATTTGTTTATGATCTTAAATCTGAGCTATGTGTGGGTAACATGCGTTTTGTTGTGTTTCGTAGCTTGAGTTGTTAGAAAAGATGATGATACATGTACTCCCCAGGTGGTGTTAATTTTCATTTTTATTTGATTTTATATTAAATATTATAAGCATTGCTCCTTGTTATCTATCTATCTATCTATCTATCTATCTATCTATCTATCTATCTATCAAATATGGTGTTGTTTGCAGTGGTGGTGCACATTGACACTCTACTTTAATGTATTCGTGTTGCAAATAAGAAATGTCAACCTGTGCAAGGGCAGAAAATGTTATGGGGAACACTGGTTAACACTACTAAAAATTAGACTCTAGTCAGGAATGTAGCAAATTCAGAAAACAAAGAATAGTTGGGCAAGTGGAACAATAGCCTTTAGCATTTGTACATGAAGTCCTTCATGGGTGCACATATTTCCTAATCCACTGTATAAACAACCATCACTGTTGCAGTCTCAAAACTCCCACATAACTCATGGACTTAAATTTGAACTTGGATGAAATGCTATACAGGCAGTCCCGACTTACGCGGTTCCGACTTACGTCGGATCCGCACTTACGAACGGGGCTTTCTCGCCCCGGAGCTCGCAGGCAGCGGTCAGCCACCTCGACCTCCGGGGCGAGAAAAGCTGCTCCCGGTGCCCCTGGTCTGCTGGGGACCATCTCCAACAGACCAGGGGCATCGGGAGCAAAGCCGCAGCAGAGGCGTGTTCCCCCGCTTCTGAGGCTTTGCCAGAGCAAAGCCTCAGAAGCGCGGGACCCCGCCACGGCTGCGGCTTTGCTCCCGATGCCCTTGGTCTGCTGGAGACGGTCCCCAGCAGACCAGGGGCAGCTTTTCTCGCCCCGGAGGTCGAGGTGGCTGACCGCTGCCTGCGAGCTCCGGGGCGAGAAAGCCCCGTTC